CTACGTAGTACTCCGCACTATTTCTATTTCTTGTTTCTCTCTAACTAACTATATATATATATATATATATATATATGTGTGTGTGTGTGTGTATATATATATGTGGGTGTGGGTGTGGGTGTTACTAACCGGCAGACATGCACGCACAAGGTTGCGTAAGGTCCGATTTTCATATCGTTCTCTATCACTCTTTGGAAATGCGCAAATATGTTATATATTTTTCCTGTGCGAGTACAAGTACTTATCCATTGGTTTCTGAATATTGAATCTAACCCCCTCATCTGTAGTTGATGATCCCGTCATGCGTGAGCTTTTTACCAAGTCTCGACTGCCGCTGGAGACCATTCAGAGAGTGTGGTATGTCCTCCACACACAACCGGTTGCACATGCACCTACATGTAGACAATCAATGGTTTTTTGAGTTTGCCCTGGCGTAATTTGAAAACGATTTGTCAAGCGTTTATATTGTTTTGTCCAAGGTACAAACTACTTGCCGAAGTGTATCTCAGTTGAACGGTTCGAATTCGGTTGCCATTCTAATGTAGAACTTATCTTCGTCACTACTGTTCTAGTGAACCCAAATGGTTGTGAACATCTGCACGCTTTTATGTGTACTTTTCGCAAGAGTATGGGCATGTAGGTACCATCTATCAAGACGTAAAATCTAAACATATATACATGGATACGTTTATATGCCATCATACATATTTGCTTGAACCAATCTGTATAACAGACTGTGTGGGATACGCCAAATGCTTCTTGTCCAATCTCGATGTCATTGGATTGACCAGATGTTTATGAATAGCATCACTTCAATGCCTAACCTTCGAGCTTCTGATACCCCATCTTTTGGCGTATGCACACACTTTCTTCATCGTGAATAACAGGAAGCTGTGTGACATCGAGAAAACTCGTGAACTAGATCGAGACGAGTTTGTGATGGCATTACACATGTGCCGTATACTCGCACACCACACGGGAAGCACTGTGCCTCATGTTCTCCCTACTAGTATCGTCCCCCGCGACAAAAGGAAGCAGGTATTTGTGTATCTACTGATGGTTATATGTATTTGTATATATATATATATATATATGTGTGTGTGTGTGTATACATACATATATATATATATATATATATATGTATATATATGTATATGTATGTATGTGTATGTGAGAGTGTGTGTGAGTGTGCGTGTGTGTGTGTGTGTGTGTGCGCGTGTGCGTGTGTGTGTGTGTGTGTGTGTATGCAGGCAGGGGTGTCTGCAACGGTGTACCCATATATGATTCTAACTTCCACCACGGTAATGTCGCGTTGTGTACCATCCTAAATCTCCCATTTTATACACACTCCATGGGGCTATTCACAACATTACAAGCACACACACATGTATGTATGTATACGCACTTGGTGTACCACCCGTAGGGTGTGGTTATTAGAGCGTAATCAGTGACATGGCATAGTCGTCGGCTACGACACACGAAGACATGCGCACTCCTTCTCGCGCCAACTACCCTCTCTGCCGCATATGCGGCGTCATTCGGCCCCACTCATACCTCTGGTGATTCTGTTCTGTTACAGATCTTATCACGACGCGAACAACAACAACAGCACCAGCAGCAACACCAGCAACAGGCAGGTCGTTTACCACCCTCCGCCCACTTCTCCTCAACCAAGAGCGCGGAGGAGAGGGCCCTAGTGTACGAGCCGTCTAATATCCAATTTCATGTATGTACTATACCTTGTATGAGGCCTAAAGGGCTTTATTGCGTGTAGCTTATAGTTGTACCATGTGCATGAGTAAGTTGTGTGTCGTGTGTTTGTGTGTAGCTTATAGTTGTACCATGTGCATGGTTAAGTTGTGTGTCGTGTGCTTGTGTGTAGCTTATAGTTGTACCATGTGCATGGTTGAATTGTGTGTTGTGTCTCTGCGTGTAGCTTATGCTTATAGTTGTACCATGTACATGATTAAGTTGTGTCTCGTGTCTCTGTGTGTAGCTTATAATTATAGTTGTACCATGTACATGGTTAAGTTGTGTGTTGTGTGTTTGTGTGTAGCTTATAGTTGTACCATGTACATGGTTATGTTGTGTGCCGTGTGTTTGTGTGTAGCTTATAGTTGTACCATGTGCATGGTTAAGTTGTGTGTCGTGTGCTTGTGTGTAGCTTATAATTGTACCATGTGCATGGCCAAGTTGTGCGTCGTGTCTCTGTGTGTAGCTTATGCTTATAGCTGTACCATGTACATGGTTAAGTTGTGTGTCGTGTCTCTGTTTGTAGCCTATGCTTATAGCTGTACCATGTACATGGTTGAGTTGTGTGTCATGTGTCTGTGTGTAGCTTTTGCTCATAGTTGTACAATGTACATGGTTAAGTTGTTTGTCGTGTCTCTGTGTGTAGTTTATGCTTATAGTTGTGTCGTGTACATGGTTAAGTTGTGTGTCGTGTCTCTGTGTATAGTTTATGCTTATAGTTGTACCATGTGCATGGTTAAGTTGTGTGTCGTGTGTTTGTGTGTAGCTTATAGTTGTACCGTGTACATGGTTATGTTGTGTGTCGTGTGTTTGTGTGTCTGTGTGTTGCTTATGCTTATAGTTGTACCATGTACATGGTTAAGTTGTGTGTCGTGTGTCTGTGTGTAGCTTATGCTTATAGTTGTACCATGTG